GAGCCACCAGGAGGGGCGGGGGGGGGGGGAGTGTTTACGTGAACCCGCGGGAGGAGGTATTCGTCCGTGGCTGCGCGACCGGACGAGACGCCGACACCCTCCCCCCCTTTTTCCCCGGGGGGCCCGTTCGAAAAGGTGTCCCCTGTGGCCGTGCTCCACCGGGGCCATTCTGCCGAGAGGCAGGAGGGAATACACCGAGCGCGAGCCGGCCCTCGGGGGGGGCATCCGGGCGCACTCCCCAACGGGGTGGGAAGAATTAATAGTGCCCCTCCGGGGGGGCGGGGGGGGGGGACTTGCTTCCCCGTGGCGGGCTGGGCCGGGTCTCGCCCACGAGACTGCCCCCGGGCAGGTCACGAAGGCTGGGGGAGAACGCATCGTCATCCGCGGCAGCCCGGCCCATGGTCTGGTTGCGGGAACACCGGGGCGCGCCGGTGAGCGCGCCGAGGCCCCATGGCGCTCCATGTCCGTCCGGGTTCCTTCTCGGGCCGAGAGGGGGCAGGGAGCTCGAACAGGAAAGAGCGGCGGGGGGCTCCCGGCGGGAAGCTGGCCCTCGCCCGGCCACACTCGCATGTTGTTTGGGGGCGAGAGAGGGGGGGGGGGGGGGGGGGGGAGAACGCCGTGGCCGGCCCCCGGGGCGGGCCCAGCCCAAGGGCGCGCCCCAGTGTCCTCGGCCCTGGCAATAGGCAGCGCCCGCCAGGAGCCGCCCCCCCCCTCCTTCCCGGACGCTGCGCCGGAGGAAGGAGGACAGGGGTCGCCATTTTTTAAGCTCCCGGTGTGGCAGTCATGGTGCCCACCCGACGGCAGCCTCCTTCTCTCCCCCCCCTCCTTCCTTTGGTTGCTTGCCGTGCTCTCTCGCCCTGAGATTCACCCGGCTTCCTCCCCCCCCCCCTGGCTGCCATGATTGGTCGCTTCTCTGTGGGACTTCTCCTGTCCCTCCTGTTCGCGCTCGCCAGCGCCGAGCAGCTCCTCGTCCCCGGCGCCTCGATCCCCGAGCGCTCGGTGCGCTATGACAACGAGCAGATCATCCGCTGGTGCGCGCCGCCCCCCCCCCCCCCTTCATTTTCCCTCCCTCTTCCTCGCCTTTCCCCCCTAGCTTCCCTTGCCTTCCCTGTTTCCTTCTCCCTCTCTCTCTCTCTCAGTCCCCCCCCTTTCCCCCCTCCCGGCTCCTGACCCGTCCGTACACGCACACGCCTGCACGCAGCTCCAGCTCCGCCCTCGCGCCCGCCGCGCTTGAGGCGCTGATCACCCGCCACGGCGTGGACATCTGGGGTGCCACCGGCGAGCATGTGGACCTGCGCATCACCGAGCAGACGGCCGCCTCGCGGGCCGTGCGCCACATGGTGGTCGACAACACCGAGTGCCGCGTGATCGTGCACGACGTCGAGCGGCTGGTCGCCTCGGCCGAGCGGGTGCAAACCGCGGCGGCCGTGCGCTCGGCGGCCCAGCGCGGTGACGGCGAGGATGCCGCCGCCGCCGGCCCCGTGCCGGCCGGCTGGTTCGACGCCTACCACGACTTCGACTCGACCCGCACCTTCTACCAGAACCTGGCCCAGTCGTACCCGGACATGGCCACCTTCCTGCCGAGCATCGGCAAGACCCACGAGTCGCGCAGCATCTTCGGCCTGGTGCTCGGCGGGTCCAACTCCACGGCCAGCGCCATCTATGACCAGCCGGAGCTGCTGGACGAGCATGGCATCCCCCTGGAGGAGGTGTTCGCCGAGCGGGCCGCCTCCGAGGACCTGGCCGCCGCCAAGCCGTCCATCTTCTTCCAGTGCTCGATCCACGCGCGTGAGTGGATCAGCAACGCCGTGTGCCAGTATGTCCTGTCGACCCTGCTGGACTCGCACAGCCGCCGGGTGCCGGCCGTGGTGGAGCTCTTCGACCGGTACAACCTCTATGTCATCCCCATCACCAACCCGGATGGCTATGCGCACACCTGGTCCGGGGACCGGATGTGGCGCAAGAACCGCGTCCCCAACGCCGGGTCCACCTGCCGCGGTGTGGATGTCAACCGCAACTACAATGACCACTGGGGCCAGGGCGGCTCTTCGAACCTGCCCTGCTCCGACACCTACATGGGCACGGCGGCCAATTCCGAGCTGGAGACCCGGGCTTCGATTGCCTTCTTCCGGTCGGCCAGCCCGGTGCACCTGGCCATTGACTGGCATGCCTACAGCCAGCTGATCCTCCGTCCGTATGGCTGGAGCACCTCCGACTCGCCGCATGAGGCCCGCCTGAAGCAGATCGGTGCCGCCATGCAGGCCGCCATCCGCAACACCCACGGCATGTCCTACACCAACCAGAAGTCCATCGAGCTGTACCCGACCACCGGCACCGCCAGCGATTGGTTCTATGGCTCCGAGGCCACTCGCTACAATGGCGGCTTCCGGTCGGCCGGCTACACCATCGAGCTCCGGGACACCGGTCGCTATGGGTTCCTCCTGCCGCCTGAGCAGATTCTCCCCACCGGTGAGGAGTCCTACGCCGCGGTCCTGGCCATGGCCCGCGACCTGCTGGACAACGGCCCCATGTATGCCTAAGTGGTGCTGTGCGCTGTGTGGTGGGCGAGGGCCCCCCCCCCCCCCCCCCCAAAGGGGGGCCCCCCCGCGGGAATAAATGGCACGGGGGCTTTGCTGGCGGGGCTTGGTGGCCCTCGGGCCCGCTCCATCTCCCCTTCTGCCCCGGGCCTGGCCCCCCTTTCTGCTGTGTCTTCCTTCGGCCGATGCGCGTCCCTCGCTCCCACCCTCCCTGTTCCCCACCTGTGAGGGCGAAACCGAGGAGTGTGTGGCTTCGCGGGGCTGCGCGGGTCTATTTCCGTTGTATCGGAGGATGTGGTTGGAAAATAAATGTCATCACGCGCATGGCCTGCGCGTTTCTCTCCTCCCCGTGTGTGTGTGTGTGTGTGTGTGTGTGTGTGTACGCTTGCATGCGGCTGTATTTGTCTCTTTTCCCGGGGTCTGGTACATGCACGCAGTCACGGAGTTCCCCCCTCTTGGGGGGTTAATTTTCCTTGTTCCTCTTCCCTTTTTTACGGGTGTCTCCCGGGGGGGGGGGG